GACCTTAATTTCCACATAACGATCTGAGTGGACCTCAAAGTGGAAATTCCATATAAAATTTACTATAATGTGAAAAACATTACTTTCCATCACTGAGCAGCAGTGCAGACCTCTTTCTCCCGAGTCGAGGCAAATTGTTCCTGACCTCATCTCTGTCCCAGAAGTTGTTTACCACAAGAAATGAGAAAATTGGGAGTCCATGTCTAGAATACATCTGTGTTGGGACTCCTGGTTCATAAAGTTCCCTTAAACACATGTTTTCTTCACAGTTCGAAGGACTGCAGTCATCCCTCTCTTTGTGCATTTCTTTCCTACCCGAGTCTTTTCTTCCATTCAACTTTCTATTAATATAATTGGGATACAGCTCTCTGATTAGGCAGTTTCTTTAGCAATATTTATTTGCACCTCACCCTCATGTAGAAGGTTTAAATGACTGTCTACAAACTATAAAGATTCCCTGCAACTGCCGTAACATAGCATAATCTTTATGTATTAAAAAAATTGTGTATCATCATTAAATAATATTCAAGTTTTCTGAGATGCAGAAAGCTAGTGTGTATTAAGTGCTAAGCTGTTTTTATGAAAGTTATCAAAAATATGTGCGGGAAACATAGTCAGTTTGTAATTATGACAAAATGCAAGTCTTAATTTTTCAAATTATTTATTAAAAAAGATAAACTTTGATAATATTTTAATCTATTGACATGGACCTGAAGAGGACAGTGTTTTTCAAGAGATGCTGTTTAGTGCTATTTAAAGGTAAAATTAAAAAGCTATCTTTCAAATTGATCATCCTGTGTTGTAGATGCATACTAGGCTGCTAGCCATTATTGTTTTTGACAATATGCTGCAAATCTGTTCTTATTGTGTTTAAGCTAATCGTGTTTTCAACATTTCACCCACTGACACGGGCAGCTGAGCTGAAGTCGAGTCGATATTCTGATGCCACTTATATATATATATATATATATATATATATATAAAAATAGACAAATACCATACAACAACAACAAACACTCACCTCTGCTACCTCCTTGCAGAGCTCGAGTCCTATGTCTTCTAGGTTTTTCTTCACTTGTTTTCTAGCTTTCCGGATTCTTGTCAGATTATTCACAGGGAGCTGGTACATGGCTCCTGGGAGAAAAGAGAAATGCTCAGAGTCCTTGAAGCTGGTTAAAGTGCATCTGCAGGGATTCTCCTTGGCTAGTGCTACACTGCCGGGTAATACAGGTTTGTAAAAAAAAAAAATCCCTGATACAGCCACTGATTTCAGATAAATCACAACAGACACTTTGAATTGCAAAAACTTTTAAACGAGTATTAATTAGTGCAACGACTAAACCGTACTGATTTGACATGGGAGGGCGCGACCCCTTAACTCATATCAGTGCACAACATGCAACAAGGATGGATATCTCAATACAATAGTACTGCTGCAGCTAGCTTGTGTTGTTGTGAATATGCTACAAACTGACTTGACCCCATGCATGAGAGATCGCATGATCAGATAGGCCTAATGATGCTTTTTACCCTGAAACCCGCTAAATGGCGTTAGCTTTATTCCGTTAGCTCTGCTGGCTGCTTCTTGCAGCATGGTCCACATCTAAAAGCTGGGGTCATTTAGCCCGACTTTTTATAATTTTGTGGTAATATGAAAATGGAGGGCGACTTACCTCAGAATGTGTCTCCGGGCTATACAGTTCGCCTCACTGACATAAATTGGTAACAAAGAAGTAAACTCTGTGAATCGGGACGAAATGACTGATGATGTTCTCACTCTGTTCTGACGCCGGAATGCTAATGCTATTGCTCCTTCACCGTTAACTGGCTAAACGCTAGCTATCTAGTTAGCTGCCGCATCTGCAGCAATAAGCGGCTTAGACAACGCACTAAATATGATAGTGGTCGTTTTAATAGTCTAGCACACTACATACGACCCCCAGGTCCAAAATTCCCCCTCGCTTTCTCTTTAGCTCGTTTCAGTCCCGAGGCTAGCCTGTTAGCAGCGTTCTATATTTCAAGTGCTGTACATAAAATCCAAAATGGCGACCAGGAAAAGACGGAAGTGGCGTTTTAGTGTTGAGAAGAGACTGTTTGATGTGGTTTTATTCATGGAGTAAAATGCTCCATTGATTTTTATTAACTTCACAGTTTAAATGCACAATAACTATGTTTTTATAGACTTTCAGAAAAGTATTATTATTCAATTCAATTCAAAATGCTCTATAAACTCATTATCTTCAAAGTAGGGTTGTCACCTTTCAGAAATGAAAATAAGGGATGCCCACCATGGTTTGGTGCCCACAGAAGTGGTACACTTCACTTTATAGCTGTCTTTTGTGAAAATAAAGTATCAATAGTGCAATCATTACACAAGTTATACCACTCCAGTCTCAGTAGTATAACTTCAACATGTTAAGTAAAGTAGATTAAGCTTTAATTAAGCAGGTGCAAAAGGTATTTGGTAAAAAAGTAAAGTACTGAAGCACTGACCAACTGATCACAGCACGTGATTTAATATTTTTAAATCATGTCAGACAGCCAAAAGTAAGTTCTGTGCAAGTTCTGGTATTTTAAAGATTAATACAAAAAATATTTATACAATAAGGAGTTGGGTTCAGAGGCTGGGCCAGGGTAGTCTGTGTTTTTTAATGGGGAGCACTTAAAAAAGAATGAAATAAAATACAGGTCAAAATTTCATTAAGTAAAGTGAACCAAAGAGCCACTTGAATCAGCCCCTGTCTGTGCCTGATGCATTGGTTAGTATGTCTTTACTTCCTTGTTATAGCTTGATAGATAGTCAGGTTATACAAATTGGCAACCCACATTAATAAAATAATGAAATAATATTGACCATATCAACATTTTTCCTACACAGAAAAACCTAACAAAAATGTTTTCATGTAGGATAAATAAACAGTTTCTCTTCACAATATTTATTTACTATTAATCTGTTAGTATGATTTGTTATTTAAATTGTCGTTTATATTACTTTAGCTAATACTATTTTATATAAAAAACGTATCATCCAAACTCAACGTCTTAAGAATCATAATCAAACCATGGTAGGCTACTAAAAGCACAATAAGAAACTTAATAAATTATATCAAAATGTTCTGTACCATGTTGGCCTCACGAGACGCTGATGTCTGATTCTGACGGTTCTGCAGTGTCTCTCTCCTGATCCATTCTGTCTGATATCATACAGCAGCACACTGCGCCACTGAATATCGCCGACTCAAATTTTTAAAAACAATGTCTGTATTCATCCTCAATGACATTGGTCTTCCTGGAATGTGTGTCTTCCCTCTCACGTCTGTATTTTTGCAAGAGTTCTTGTTTCTAAGGACATGGTGGAGCTTCGGGTGGAGAATATAAAAAACGCCTGTTGCAACCGTGACAGCAACGCCGTTCGTGCTGCGTTCTGGAGGGTCCTGTGTAGCTCCGGCCATGACAGTTTAGCTGACCTTATATCCTGTGTTTTATTGTGGTCATTGTTGTTATATTTAGTGTCGATATGTGTGTGATAGGCGTGTGTATCAGACATTTATAGAAATATGGAACAAACCGCGTCTCGTATCGGTTCAATACGGGACGATTCCGTATTTTACCCTACTTCAAAGACACTCTAAGAAATGGCTGTAAACTTACAGCGACATTCCAGCAGTAACATGCTGTTGTTCCAAAATACGGTAGGATATTGTCAATTTGATGTCTTCTTCTGTTGTCACAATCAAGACTGATGACTGGCAGTAAACTACCGTAAAATAATTGTACAATACAGTTTTTTTTCCTAGGAAAGACATTTTACTTGTATTTGCATCTCAGAGAACCAGCATTTAAAGACAATAATAAACCGAAAGAAAAAAAAATACTTGCCATAGTAAATCTTTTAGGAAATGAATCAAAATCCACAGAGCATAATCAAAAGTGTTAGATTACAATAGGCCTTCGCAGCACTTCGCTGTTCGGGCCTAATTACCAGTGTTGGTGTTGTATGTTAAAACGACAATGTTAATTAAACACTTGTTTAGTCAAATTCAAAGATAGGTTTGTCAGTTTCCCTAAAGAGATGGTGTTTGCTAAAGAGTTGCTCCCACCAGGGCCGTGCAGAGACCACTAAAGGGGCAGGTGCTCAAGCATCCCCAGCCCCCCCACCCCCTGCATGTGCCTGGTGATCATTATGTGTAGAGTGTTATGGGCATCCCCTGTCTGACTCTGCTGACTCCCCCTCACATGTGATGGACCTGTCATGTGGGCGGGGGATCAGAGGAGCTGGAGGACCAGGACTGATGCTGATCTGACAGAACACCGGAAGAGCGGAGAGTTCAGTGTGTTAGCAGTGAAGCTATTCTGTTGAGTGTAACGGTTTATCAGAGGGGTGAGCTGCAGCCTCAGGAATAGCAGCTCGCTCTTATTTCTAATAAACCCTGTTGGCGGTACTACGTATGCGGTGTGTTGGCGTCTTGACAGTATTACTTGCAGTACAACACTTTAAAAGGTAATTACAGGATTGAAAATGTAAGTTTCCAGTAAAATACTGGTATTTACAGACAGCAGCTTTTTTTTTTATTTACCATTTTTCTGAAAGAACTGTAAAAAAAAAAAAAAAAAAACCTGGCGTCTGTAGCTACCAGTATTTTTTTTATTGTTCTTTCAGAAAAACGGTAGATCACCGTTCTTTCAAAAAAAAGGTAAACTACTGGCAGCTACAGACGGCAGAAGTTTACTGTTCTTTCACAGTATCTATACCGTACTTGCATTGACGGTAATCTACTGTCAGGATTAATTACGGTACTGCTACTGTGCATTTACAGTAAACTTCTGGCGTCTATTGCTGCCAGTATTTTACTGTAAATTTACAGGATTATTTCTTAGAGTGGAGTTGTTGTAGATGCTGATGTCTGTGGGCAGGAAGAATAGCATCAGTCTGTTACACCAAATCTGAAGAGTCCTCTGACTGAAGACACCGTTATTGTATGACAATGAAGAGGATGCTCATGGTTGTAATGTTTTTATTTTATTTTATGAAGAATCCTTTGCACAATTATCTCTCGAGGTTTAAGAGGAGTCCCCAGAACAGAACCAGCCTTATTTTGTTCGGCTTTAGCCTTTTTCCAGTCAACAGATAATGGCAGAAGATATTACACTGTCCCAAACAGATTTACAGATGATCTGCGGCATCTTGTTGCAAACTCCGAATAACATAAGCTTCCGTAAGAAGTACAGTCTGCCCCGTCCGTTCTGGTAGAAGGCTTCACTCCAGTCCTGTCTGTTGTTCAGGTGAACAGCAAGGTATTTGTACTCATAACCTCGTTTTTTTTTTTTTTTTTTTTTTTTTTTTTTTATTTCACAATCATTTGTTTTGTTCCTATTCAACATTTATTAACATTATTGTTGTTCAGACGTAGTTTTCATTCCAGTTGCTCCATAACTTCCAGGACAACAACACGAGGTCCAGTCATCACCAGCCTGGTCACTGTCTTGTAGTCCAGGTAAAGAACACACCTGCCATGCACCTGGCACACAAACTGCCGTATCTATGGAGATTGGTTACACTCATGGATCTCACTTCTGTCTAAACACTTAACGTTTTACTGTGTCGTGTGATTTATTTGTCAAATTTTTTTTCTCTCACCTTAACTCCAGCAGCTGCCGCAGGGCTGCCAGGATCCACGGCTTGAACGTAGCAGGGAGCCCTGCCTCTGACCACAATGCCCCAGCCCAGGGCGTCACCGATCACCTGGAGTCACGGTGAGTTAAAATACATCTTACAGTTGGTGGGAAATGCAAACTTACAGTTAGCACTGAGTTATAATTGTTGTTTTTCAAGGACGAACTTGAGTGTGACTAACATGTCTGGTTCAGTTTAGTTCATTTAAAGCTGCAGAATGTAACTTTTATAGGCAGCTTCTTTTTTTTTTTTCATATTTGTTAAAACTATCACCATGTCCTGACGGTATCATATGAGACACATAATCTGTGAAAGGATCAATCTCCTCCAACTCCTCCCTGAGCTACTATTGCCATTTGAAGAAAGGCACCGCTCCCGACCAAAAACAACCAATCAGAGCCAGGGGGTGGGTCTTAGCACTGCCAAGCAATATTTTTCACAGAATATCTGTCTCATAACATGGTGAGAGTTTCAACAATTTAAAAAAAATTTTCATAAAAATTACATACTGCAGCTTTAAGGATACCCATTAGTCCCCACCATAGACTATTCCACTATTCTGGTCCACACACCAGAAGCGTTATAATAAAAATATTACAAGCATTACAATCATGTGTGTGATATGTAAACTAAATATGATTTCTCACATACAGTCACTCACCGTAAGCACTTTCTTGATGAAGGGTGCTCCAGGGGCCAGTAACTCCTGACATGTGACATGTCTTTTTAAAACTGTAGAGCCAGAAAAGATGTTTGGGTTTATAAGCAATCCCCTATTGAACACAATATGGTGCTATGCTATGCTATGCTTTGCTATGCTATACTAGAGGGCATACACCGTCATTTACAAGTTTTCCAGGATTCAGTCTGAAGTTTGAATCCGAGTTCATAAAATGAAAATGTTTGTGCAATTTTGTCTAATAAGGGAGCAGCACTACATACAGAAATATAAAACTGTATCTTTATATATACACCGAAGGGTGGAGGAGGCCCAGAACTATCAATTTATGGTCAAGAATGTTGTTTTAAAGATAGGTTTGTTGTTGAAGAAAAATACAAATTTAAGTTCTATGAAACCTTTTTGATTATTTTTCTTTCAAATTGTCCTAACATGGAAATAACCCCATACCCTCACCCCAAATACACAATGGTTTGGGCGACACCTTAATGAAGTTCATTAAGCTGCTCCATTACAATCTGGAGCAGGGTCCAAAGAAAATGTCACCATGACTTTCACCTTTCATTCTGCAGGTAGAGCCTACATACACCACCTCTGATCTGATGGCTCTAGCAAACTCAGCACTTTCTGTGGAAGACCTGTTGCCTATCTGGAGGTAATAACTACAACTCACCCGATAGGTAATAGGCGGAGGCTGATAAATGCTAATGGCTTTGATGTTTCAAGACTTCCTCTAGATCAGTGGTTCCCAAACTTTTTCTTCTGCGCCCCCCCAGTGGTTTCCAAACATATTCTGCGCCCACCCCCCAGGGATTACAAATGGCTGTCTGGTTGAAACGACGCGTGTGACGGGGGGCCAAAATGTATGTACGTAGCTGAAAATAGACACCAACATCGGTAGCCTACAAGGTACTTGTTAAGCTTAAGGTTCTGTATTGATATTAGCTAGTCACCTTTTAGCTAACATTACCTGCATCCAACAGCTTTACTCAACTCGGTCGGTTAGTTTGGAGGGTAAAACTGTGAAAAGTTCTTTGCGTTTTGCTGGTTTGCTGCCGTGATTCTAACACAAACCTACGTAGCTCCACAGCAGCAGCAGGTCTCCTTCACAGGTGTAAACCCAGCGCGAGCGTCGTAGCGCTCATGTTGCGTTTAAAGGCGGCTCGGAAAAACAGGTTACAACATGTTAACAACAGATTAAACAGTTTTAACTGCTGATAAAAGTGACAGAGGACACAAATATGGGACGTGTGGAAGCCCTACTGTATCAAACTGACATAGGAATAACAGAGAGTTGGCCATTCTAAGTTAAAAACCCAGTGCATACAGTGTTCATGTTTTGTTTTGTTTTTTTCATCCAGACGGCTTCCCGCGCCCCCCCTGCAATGACACGGCGCCCCCCCTAGGGGGCGCGCCCCACAGTTTGGGAACCTCTGCTCTAGATTATCATTAGATTAACAGGCCTTATCGGCCATAAACGGGCTGGACGGTGGAGATGAGCAGCCATAAATGAAATGAAGATACTGCTGCACAGATGCGACTGTAAAAGGAAGACTCGGCCAAATGTAAACATGTCACACAAGAATAAGAAGCATGTACGGAATGCCACACGTGTCACAGTTTCAAGATTTAAAAAGTCCCAAAACTGAAATTATTTAATCTATCTTTACTTTAAATAAATTAAAAATATACATTTTCTTAGGATTAAATAATTTTATCTATCAATCTAAAGATATATATCTTTGAATAACAAGGGAAACTGATTTTTTTTTGTTGTTTTGTCAACTTTCTATGTTTTTAAGACTTTTAGATTTTCTATCGCTAACACATCATATTTCATTTATCTGGGCTCCGAATGCAATCGTTCCACCTGCCTGATTTAGGATTACATCTCACAACTGAGTTTGAAGAGAGTTGACCGAGAGTTTGAAATCCGCCAGAATGAAGCTGAAGCGAATTCAGACTGGATCTCCGGCCACCTGTGATCTGTTTTATGTCTTTACTCGGCCCAACTGCAAGGGAAAAAAAAAAAGTGTATTCAGAAGTCAACATTCAAATCAAAGTGCATTTTTACAACTAGAAAACAGAAAATTTGGTATTAACTAGATTGAAAAGCACTGTTATGCTCTTGGATGGGGTCTTTGCGTAGAAAAAACGGACTGTCGAAATTGTTTTCCTCTTGGATGGAAGCCCCGTCATTCTCTTGCTCCCTTTCATTTAGCAGCTCAGATAGGCGCCGGCGCCGACGGAAATTGATGCAAAACTGATAGAGGAGCCCGCTGTCGAAGAAGTCATGCTTCTTTGTCACTGGTGATGGGAATGGAATGCATGCGTTAAATAACACTGGAACGTGTTTCAAGAATGAATGGGTGTGTGTGTGTGTGTTTGCTTTTGATTGCCAAAAGTCCCCAGTGGCCACTCACCACCGGCAGCCGCTGCTTACCCTTTACCGGAGTGCAAATGAGCTCTGCGCTCACCGTGTTGAATGATGCCATGCTCCTGCAACGCCCGACTCAGGTCCACTCCCTGACGCCGGTTCTCCACCTCCCCGTTCTGCAGGAGCCAGTCAATCAGCTGGTAGCCCGGAAATGAGCGCTGATACGAAACCCCGTGCTCCTCTCTCAGCTGCAGGATGGAGTTTTTGTCGGCGACGAGACTGAAAAGAACCGGTGATTGAAATCATGAAACAAATTCTCTCAGAACACGTTCTGGAAATTTGAGAAAGGAAATACGTAGATCATTAGTTTGTGTAATAATCCACAGTTATTTATCCCCTCAGATGTGATAAAAGCAATTAATCTTCCTTTGCAGAAGCGTAATATTACATTAAAAAATGTGTTGCTTTTAAATAAATCTTTAAAAAAAAACTGCTTGTTCCCTTTTAATCTTGCCACAACTCTGGAAAAAATGCATCTGCTTGCTGCTTGGTTGAGCAGCACGCAGATTGTGTGGTTTATGTCCATAAAACAATTACCATATTTTTCCCTGCCAGTGTCCAGTGGAGTTCTGCTAGTGATTTAATACAATTTGGAAGAAGGCTGTAGCATGATAAAATGTAAAAAAAAGAAAAAAAGTGAAACACTGAATTCTTTCTGCATTCTGTAAGATTTTCATTGACTAAACTCTGCTGCTCAACCTACAAAAGCATTTTTGAACAAACATGGCATAAATTGGTGAAATATAGATATTTTATTTTTATTTTTTACCAGAGGCATCATCACAGCAAAGAAAACCAACCAACCACAAACTTCCTGAATTTTAAAGCTAAGTCTACATGGATTTGTATTTAGAGTTGTGGTGCCATGCAAACGAAGCAGCCAGCTGTAACAGGAAAGAGTGTTCTCTGAATGTAGCTTTCAGAAACATATCTTCTTTTTTTTTTCTACCTCAGAAACTTCTACAGAGAATTGCTGGAAAAGAGGTGATGCAACACAGTGGTAAACATGCTGCTTTGCCAACTTTTCCACAACAACTTGAATCAAATTCAAGAACTTCTATTTAAAAATGATAATGGATATTTGAAATTTTTAAAATATCCATTTGAAGTCCATCACTTGGTCATGTGACCGGTACTCCTCCCGGTCACATGACCAAGCTATTTTCAGTCGACATACTTTTTTTTGTGTATCGAGTTCTTACTTTTCATACAGCCTTTGCCCTCGTATGAAGATTTTCACCTCAGTGTTGAAGGGAAATGTGCCGTCATCCTTGCGAAAACGATACAGCAGTTTGGCGTCCTTGAATTCGGGTCTCTTGTCACAGACTAAGGAGAAAAAGCAGCACACTGTTTAACATGTGCAGAGAGCGCTTCAGAAACATCCACTGTATTCATACCCAATGTCTAAAATTACACTTGCTCACCCTGACTGGCCACATTATTACAAGCACATTGATAGTAACAGGTCAGACCCCCTTCTTACTTCAGGACTGCCTTGATTCTTTGTGATAAGATTCAACAAAGTGTCGGAAACGTCCTCAGATATTTTGGTTCTGTTGCTGCAACATCAATGATTGGAATCTCCCACTCTCCTCTGACCTTTGACACCAACCTGGTACTTTTGTCCACATGTCTGCTGCTACATGGATTTTTTTTTAACCTTTTTTACATCGTTCACAGTAAACCCAGGAGATGACTGTATGTGAAAACTCAAACAGATCAGAAGTTTCTGAAAAAAATTAAGACCAACCAGTCTGTCACCAACGACCATCTCATGTCTGCGGTCCCTTAAATCCCCGCTCTTCATCCAGCCTTGGTTAGAACGTCGCCTCACAGATCACCCCTCCCTCACTATCCTTCAGACTAGCAGCAGCAGCAATTAACAAACACCTGGTGGAACTGCACGTCTGCTGACGTCATCACATGAATTCTCAGTGAAAGGTGCTTAAAAACGGTTGTAAACAGTATAATGAGAAGGACTGTGATGATGTCTTGATGGTGGAAGTTGGAAAGAGTAGGAGCATCTTAAAGAGACAGAGCCCTAATTTCAAGTCGTATTTCTTTTAAGTCATGTTTGACATATACAGCATTTATACAACTGAAGTTAACAGTTACTGGATTGTACTATAAAATGACACTATGAGCCTGGAAAATACATAATTCCCCTTTAAGTTCCTTGCATATGATTTGCTGATCCACTATTTGGGTTATAGGGTTGACATGGGTACCACTGATAAGGCATCCAGTATCTGCACCTCTCACCGTGATGAACAATGTCGTGGTCCATGAGGTGCTGCATGAGACAAACGGCCGTCGCTCGATCCAAAGCCTCCTTGTGACTCACCAGCCAGTCGATCAGCTCCTGCGCCACAAAGCAGTTCGGATATGTCCGCAGGTGGTACCGCCGATCCTTGATCAGCTTTCCGTCGTGAAGCCTCAACCTTAAATCCATGTTCAAATCGTCGATGAGTTTTGAACTTTATCTGAACCATAAACCCACATAGCGTACTCTCACCCCCTCACCCGCCTTCCTACCGTACCTGAGTTGTTCTCCTGCAATCATGACTTCCGTCTTATGTTGTCTCGCTATGGTCTTTCTTCTTATGCTGCTTGTTCGCTCCATGTTTGCTATATTTGGACTGAGCAGTAAACGAAGCTCACCTTTTATTATAGACTTTTGTGTTTACAAAATAGCCAAAGAGACGAAGCATTGCCCTGAGGCCTAGATGTTGTGTGTACAGTTTAAGACAGAAAGGCAAAGACGTGGCGTTGAGGCATAAAAATGATTCTCCAATGTGTTGCTTTTTTTTGAAACAGAGATTCTCAGATGTTGTCTTAACAGATAAACATTTTAAATGAATTGTGTCTTCAATTAGAAACGAATAACTGAAACAATATTTACAGAAAAGTACTTCTATCCATCTTGTCACTGTGTTTTCGTCCAAGCTTGTTTCTATGTAGCGTAGAGTATCACTTAGAAATGACTGAACAATGAATTAGGAAGGGAGAAAAAAAAAGAAGCTTGTGGTGGTTATTGTCGTTTGCTGGAAGAGATGCTGGTATGCACTGTCCTGGTGTTACTGGATGAGTTTAGACTAGCTACATTTCAAAGGTCGTCTTATGGTTGTCTGGCAACCAAAAAAACCTGAAAAACGTCCCAGCAGGTGCTGGAAGACCAATCAGGATCCATGCAAAATGAAAGTGTTCATCCTTCAAGCCTCATCGTCTGTAAAGCAGCAACCCAATGAAATGAGCTGTGACCCATTTCTTGTAGACGCCTGCAGATGCAGATAAGGCATCGCCATGGTGACGCATAAACATACAGAGTCTTGCAGAGCATTCACATGTATTTAGTGTGTTTTATTTGGAACTGTGTAATAAACTGAACACAAAATAGTGCAATTTTGGAAAGTGGTGAAACAATAAGTGGTTTTCGAAAAAAAAAATACAAATAAAGACATGAATAGTGTTGCACACATTTGTCTTCAAGGGCTTTTATTCTGAAACCTCAGACTGAAATACAGTGAAAATATGTTCCTGCAGGCGCTGAAGAATTAGTAGATAGTGAAAATAGCACAAGCCCAGTCAGATAGGATGGAAATGGTTTGTAGTTTTCATAGAATGACACACATCCTCAACTGAACTTACAGTAGCTCTAGACTTTGACTGGGCCATTCTAACATATACAATGATGTTTAATAAATTAAAATATGCCTTGTAATGAGGCTCATTTGT